AATCCAGTCCCATATCAATTAATAAGTATAAACCCCTTGAGGTTTGTGTAGCCAGCCAACAATAGTATTTCAATAGACAAGACTTGATTCAAAGTAAGTTAAACTCCTGCGCACTGTCTTCTTCTGTTGGTGAAATCATTTATGACATTTTCAGTCAGATACCTTCATCAGATCAACAAGCAAACATTTGAAGTGAGACATTAAGATAACTTTCTCTTTTGATTAAGTTGTACTGCTCATCAATACACCTATAATACATTTACCTGCAGACAATTATTTTAGTTTGTAAGACAAAGCTTTCATTCTTTGAAATGTTTACCTTTCAGCCTTTTCAGGTAACTAATTTCAACTTGCAGGTTTGACAAAAAAATTTAGCTTACAGCCTTTCAGTGCGTTTGAGCTTCTTCAGGCATTTGATTTTACCTCTTCTGCATTTTCTGCAGTGTTGCAAGTTAATTTCAGCTTTCAGTATCTTAAAGAGACAGGAGCATCTACAGACAGAGGCTGAAGTGAGAGCTTGCATGAAGGTCCTGAAGGGCCATAGAAAATTATTTTTTTTAACTTTGAATCATTCCAAATTTTACACAATTTAATGTTAGCAATCCAGTTTAGCGTCAGCCTTTAACAGCGAGCATTCACACCACAATTTCTCCACAAATTGCATTTCCAGTTAGTATTTAGTCCACTGGAAACTGAAAATGACTGTTAACAAAATGCACCATAACAAAAATCCAGATCTGGCCAACATGTACAGTATATAATCTGTGTGAATCAAGGGATATGGTATCATTTATTACAAATTTACAATATATTTACTGCAAGTTTTTTCCCATCAAATAGATGGCTATTGTGGTTTATGTTACTAAAGTAGTTTGGTAATGTAGTGTAGATTAGTGTCAGGAAACTTTATTTATGTAAAGATTCATGTAAAGTCTTCTAGGAGTTTTAAGTAAAAACAAGTCTGATGGTGAAAGAACCTAGAGCAGCTTCAAGGTAATTTTACAACTTAAAAGATAAAAAAGCCAAAATACATGTTGCACTTTAAGTCAAAAGCAAACTTTATTTAGGTTTATTTGACAGTTTACATGTAGAAGGTAGTTTATTGTCACATATACACATTGCGAAATTCATTCTCTGCATTTCACCCATCCCTCAAGGGAGTAGTGGGCAGTTGCTGTGCACTGACTGAAGCACCACATGTTTTGATTGTATGCATTTAGAATCAGTGCATATTGCAGTGCGCACTCTGGTGGGCAAACTATGCAACGCTCACGACATGAGGGAAGGATCTGACTCTGTTTCTCTTTTTTAATAGTCATATTGGCTATTATAAATGCCGATCTGCAAAACAATAAATCGGTTGAGCTCTAGTTAAGAAGAAAAAAAGCATTCAAGATCATTCTTTGAAAAGCCTAAATTCAAATCCACCTACGACACCCATAAAAGCACTGAAATTGCAGCACACACATCCCAATCAACCAAAATTAAACTAATAAAATAAGAACATATAAGATAAAACATGAAAATACATTCTAGAAGATGAAAAACATATCATTAAAAACAAAAAGTCCGCGTGCTCACTTGAACTCATGAGCGAGCATAATCCAAAACACAACCGCAACACGGAAACAATGGCATGCCAGCTGTGGCTTTTTTCCAGACATGTTCAGGCTCTGTTACTTCAATGTTCCTGGCTAAGACACAGCAGCGAGCCACATATTGGCATAATACTCCCTGGGAAAAAAAGGCTGTGTAACAGCAGCTATAGACAGACAGGGAGACACCTTAACACAACGTGCTGAAAACTCCCACTGCAAAGTTACAGTAATATTTTTATATCATCTTGAGGTTGAACTGATCCATGCTCGTTATATGATGACGTTACATTTACAGCATTTAGGAGACGTGATACATTGGCTTAAGCTCACCTGCTGCAGTAACTGATATTACTATTAGGCTCAGCAATGTGAGAACAGCTAAATGTATTGGATGTTAACGAAATAAATTTATTTTATTTATTAATATGTAATATAATTGAAAAGCTAGTATGGTTAGTTTTTCAATTAAATTACTTGTCAATAAATTTTCATTGCCTTATTGTCAATGGGCTCAAAACTCACTTAGAAATGAAGCATATGCCAGTTTTCTCTGTTGTTTTCATCAGCCACTATTCTGCTATAAATGTGAGGACAGCGATCGGATTCAGCTCTGTGAGCCTCTCTCTGACTACAGCGACAACACCGTTGCTAACTACATGCAGTCCACTTACACCACAAAACACTGACTCCAACACAAACTCCATGTAAGGATAAATATAACAATAAAGGTTTATGCAATGAAGCCTGTCAGACCAAACAAGTCGGGTAAAAATAGTCACACCAGAAACCCACGGAGAGAGTCACGTTAGCTTTTCAGATTACTTCACCAGCTAACACGACCCATATTACTATCCTGTGTACCACTGGTATTATGTCAAAGTGTTGTGCAAATGTGGAGCAATTTGTTTACTAGCCTATAGTGATGCAGGGCAGAAGCAGCCTGAGTCTCTGTAACTAACATGATCCACATAATATAAAATACTCCAGCTCACTAACCGTTTCATTATCATCCAATACATTTTGCTGTGTTGACATTGCTGAACCTCCTTTGAAAGATACACAGGTAAAAAGTAAAGTTAGTTACTGAAAAGCAGCAGGCAAGCTAACGCTGATGTAGCATGTCAGCTAAATGCAGTAAATGTTATCATGTAACCAGCATGGATAAGTTTAACTTGCAGCTGATAAAACTATTACTGTAACGTTGCAGTAGGGGTTTACCTGTGTTTCCAGTCTGTTCTCCCTGTTTGTCTATAGTCACTGTCACACTGCCTTTTTTCTGGGAGTACTGTGCCATTATGCAGGAGTCTCACTGCGCCACAGCCGACATGCTGTGCCATGAGTTGAAGCGAGCACGCATACGAGCACACACCTGGTTCAAACTTAAAACCGCACTTCTAGTGGCCGCTGAAAACTACCCCTTTAAAGATCAAAAATGTTGTTCCCGCCCAAATAAAAATCTAAAATCCCTCCATATAATTCACAACAAATAATCTTAAAGTAGACATCAAAACAAAACTCAAAGAGGACAGAAATAACTTGATAAAAATGGATGAGACCAAATCCAGAGGATTGACTGTGTGACCGCAGAGAGCTTCAGTGGATAATCAGACTTCTGCTGTTTCTCCCCACTGAGCAAACCTAAAACATCCACCAGAAAAATAAACAGTGAGGTTGTGAACAGTAATGACAAACAGTAGGCTTGTCACATCATCTATCATCTGTTTGAATGTTTGGTTTGGATCATCAATTTCACTAAACGTACCTGCACGTGTCACGGTGCAGCTGCTGGACCAGGTGGATCAGCACTAGTGTAATTAAAAGCATTGTTAGCATTATCCAGAATAGCTCATAATCAGGGCTGTTTACATTTTAACAATGTTTTACCAAATTAGTGTTTCTTCATCTGTTTTCCCTGTCATTGTGGTATTTCTTCACCATTTCAAGGTCTGCTGTAACATCTAAAAACAACAAAAACATAGCATTTACATTGAGTGCACTATAAATCGACTATTGGACATTTGGTGAGTTAATAGTTTTAATAAAATATTTACAGTATTTTTAGTGATCATATTTTTATTTTGATATGTTCCCTTTACCTGGGATTGAGACAGCATCTGTCTTGAGTGACAGGTCGATTGATTCCTGAATTGTTTCCTCCAGTATCTTCAGGATTTCCTCCTAATTCAGCATTAAAATCTTTATCAATTCTCACTCCCACAGATAAACTGAATCCTACATGAATTAACTGTTTAAATGTGTGTTCAGCGGGCTGCTCAAACTGGACAAAAGGATAACAGCTATAAATGCTTTATTATGTTTCTGTCTTAGATAATTGACATATACAATCACACATCAAGATGAAGATGTGCAGTGTGACACATTTTACTATATCATCATCATCATCATCATATGTATTATGAGATGTGACAAACCTTCAAGTCTCTCAGCTGGTTCAACATAACATCTTTAGCCTGCTCAAACATGGTGTTCTTTGAATCATGAACATGTCTCTCAATAGTGTCCTTCATGTTTTGCAGCACACCCGCTCCTCGAAATGCGGCTGCTTCTACAACAAAAAAATTAATTGTTGTCAACTACAGTTTTCTAGACAATCATGATAAATGTAAATTATTATTGTGTCAGGTTGTAGATGTCTTTATCTCCTATCTTACTTGTATAGCACTTTTCCATGGTCATCTCGATTGTTGCCATCAGACTGCTGTAGACTTTTTTCTTACGCTCCCGGATGATTTTGTTGAGTTTTATCTTAATTTTTTCTTCCTTAAAGAGAGAAAATAAAGTATACATCAACATAGTTATTACAGTAAAATCAAGGTAATCCCAATTAAGCTAATCTTTCAGTTTTTCAAAACTTTTTTTCTTTGTTATTTGACCTGAAAATCAGTAAATTATTAAAACTGATTTTCGAAACACAACCTGTTTATCTGCATTGTTAACAACATTTACTATGTTGATAGCATTATTCATACACAGTGTACATGAACATGTTAATAACTCAAGTAGCTCAATAGCCACTGTATATATATTTTTTAATTGTTCAATGTTTAGTCTTCATTCCAGTCCTCAAACTCAAACTAGATGTTTGATTTAGACAAACAGCTTGATAATGGACTTGCAGATATTTTTCTCATCTTTTACCTCTGTCTTGAGAAATTTCAGTTGCAGTTCGACATCTTTGTGCTTTTGTATCAGCGTCTCTGTGTCAAGTGAAAATGTGTTGATGACCCCGTTGAATGGTTCACATTTTCTTTCATTTCTGAAACATGTTAAAAAGTTGAAATGTTTCATAAAGAAAGCAATGACAAGTGTATTTTAACAATGCAATTAGTACATATGTATCGCATTTCACAGATTTTTTCCATCCAAAGAGTTTCATGTCCTTGCTAAGTCATTTCTTACGGGAAGGCCTTCTTGAATTCCTCATCAATGCTGTTGGTCAGGTGGGAAACTAATTCTGCATTGAGGTTTATTTGTTTCCTTCCTTTTGGTTTGTGGGTGCCACCGTTCTTAACAACACACTTCAATATCTTGTGAAAAGCACCACCTTTTACCCATCTCTGAGACAACGCAGAAAAACATAGAGAAATAAGTTAGCAGTTAACATTTTCACATGCATTGCAAAATCAGTTGTTTTGATGCAATTATAATTCAAATACGTACAGGCTCTAAGACACGACTCAAGACTTTTACACATGAACTTTCTGATGTTTCAACCCCCTCACTCAGGCATTTTTCAAAAACCTTATGAGCCTCTTCCATGGGTTTTCTGACTTTGTCAAGTTCATGTCTCAGCTTTTCTTCAAGGTCTGTGTATACTTTTGTTTTTTCGTCAGCCTAAAATCAAGCACAACACATTCAGTATTTAAAGCAATGAAACTATAATGCAGCCTGATTGGGCAGTATTTATTTCTACTTTATTTGACAGCTAAAATTGACTCCAAATGGATTTAAGAATTATTTTTACTTAACTTTAACATGTTTTCACTGAATTTCAGCAAAGGTTACTTCAGTTTAATTATTTATTGTAAATATTATTTCCTGTCAATATTAATGATAATTATAACTGAAAGACAATGACAGATGTTTTATTTCTTGATCTTACAACTTCTCTAGATTTGGCCCCTTGCATCAGAGAGAGAATCCCATGAGCTCCAGACACATAGTTAAATGTCTCTGAATGATGGTCATTGAGCGTTTGCAGAAATTCCTGAAGTTTGGGTATTTCTGTAAAGAAAAAAAAGCAGTTTCCCTTACAAGCAGTTTCCCTTACATATTACAAGACATGCCTTTGGTGTGGGAGACCTGGGTTTGATTACCACTGCAACATTGACTAAGTGTCTTGCTCAGGGACTCATTAACCTCTAGTTGCTCCAGAGGCGTGTGACCTCTGACATAGTATATGGCAAATGTAAGTCGCTTTGGATAAAAGCGTCAGCTAAATTACTAATTATTATTTATTTTACAACAATAGACCAACACAGTCTGCTTAAACGAATACCACATAAACAATTACATATTATTAGGTACATCTTGCTAGTACTGGGTTGGACCCCCCTTTTGCCGCCTTAATTCTTTGTGGCATACTTTCAGCAACAATACTCAGGTAGGCTGTCGCATTTAAACACTCCTCAGCTGGTGCTAATGGGCACAAAGTGAGCTAAGAAAATATCTGCCACTTCATTACACCACCACCAGCCTGAACCACTGATACAAGGCAGGATGGATCCATGCTTTCATGTTGTTAAAACCAAATTCTGCATCTACCATCTGAATGTCACAGCTGAAAGACACTAGTCAGACCAGGCAATGTTTTTCCAATTATAGCCTCAGTTTCTTGTTCTCAGCTGACAGGAGTGGCACCCAGTGTGGCCTTCTGCTGTTGTAGCCCATCTGCTTCAAGGTTTGACATGTTGTACGTTCAGAGATGGTATTCTGCATACCTTGGTTGTAACGAGTTATTTGAGGTACTGTTGCCTTTCTGTCATCTCAAACCAGTCTGCCCATTCTCCTCTGACATGAACAAGGCATTTTCGTCCACACAACTGCCACTCACTGGATATTTTCTCTTTCTTGGAATATTCTCTGTAAACCATAGAGATGGTTGTGCCTGAAAATCCCAGTAGATCAGCAGTTTCAGAAATGCTCATACCAGTACAATGTGGAAAAGGTGTTGGAACCCCTAGGCTAATGACTTTTCCAAAAGCTAATTAGAGTTAGGTTTCAGCCAACCTGGAGTCCATTCAATGAAATGACATTGGAGGTGTTGTTTAGAGCTGCCCTGTCCTATACAAAACCTACACCAATTTTAATTTTGCTATTCTCATTAAGAATTGCCTGATGGGAGCCATGCCTTGAACAAAAGAGCTCTCAGAAGACCTAAGATTAAGAATTGTTGACTTGTATGAAGCTGGAAAGGGTTACAAAAGTATCTCTAAAACCCTTGATGTTCATCAGTGCACGGTAAGATAAATTGTCTACATATGGAGAAAGTTCAGCACTGTTGCTATTGGCCATTCTGCAAAGATGACTGCACGAGCACAGCGCAGAATACTCAATGAGCTTAAGAAGGATCCTAGAATGTCAGATGAAGACTTACAGAAATCTCTGGAATATGCTAACATCTCTGTTGACTCTACAATATGTAAAACACTAAACAAGAATGGAGTTCACCACGGAGGAAGCCAATGCTATCCAAAAAATACATTGCTGCATGTGTGAAGTTTACAAAAGAGCACCTGGATGTTCCACAGCACTACTGGCAAAATATTCTGTGGACAGATGAAATCAAAGTTCAGTACTTTGATAGGGACACACAACCCTATGTGTGAAGGAAAAAAAAGGCACAGCACACCAACATCAAGACCTCGGGGCCTTGAAGGGTTGCTATCATCAACGGAAAAATTAATTCCAAAGTTTATCAAGAAATTTGGTAGGAGAATGTAAGGCCATCTGTCTGCCAGCTGAAGCTCAGATTATGGAACTGAAGATGGTTGATACAACAGGACAACAACCTGAAGCACAGAAGTAAATCAACAACATCAACTTCAGCAGAAGAAAATACATATTCTGAATTAGCCCAGTCAGAGTCCTGACCTCAACCCAATTGAGATGCTTTGGCATGACCTCAAGAGTGATTCACACCACACATCCCAAGAATATTGCCTAACTGAAACACTTTTGTTAACGGTTCAGTGTGTAAGTTTAGTGGCATCTAGTGGTGAGAGTTGCGAATTACTGGCTGGTGAGGATCAATGCTCCTCTCACTTTGCTTAATTTATTAGATAAGCAATCTTCAAATCTTACCAAAATGTTTTTAAAAAAAATTTAAAATACAACAGAAACACAAAGTAGAGTGTAGCATGTGAAAGTACAAATTACATAATTGTGTACACAGTTGCAAAGCACTATAAAAAAATAAAAACTTGGTCACTTGATAGGCACACTCATGTTATGTGTCACTATTAGCAGTAAAATGAATACATGTTTTCCACCAGGGCAGTACTCAACAGAAGTTTAGCAGCTGATCTGAGCTCCACTTGCAAAGCCATAACAGAGCGCTGTAGAATAACTACATTAAATTACAATCCAACAAAATATTTTTTCTACCAGAGCAGTAAAGATTTAGCTGGCTGATCTGAGCTTAGATGCTGGAAGCTGCATTTTATTGCCCATTACTGATCAGCTGATTGTTTTATGAACTTAACCGACAAAGCCAAAACAGCGCTGGAGAGTGTCACTACATGAAATTAATACAATTACATATTTTACACCACAAGCCAAAGCACAGCACTGGAGAATAACTACATGAAATTAATCCAACTACATGTTTTTTTCTACCAGAGCAGTAAAAGTTTAGCTGGCTGATGCTTCCATGCTGTTTTATTGCCAATTACTGATCACTTATGTAACCAGAAAAGCCAAACCACAGCACTGGAGAACAACAAGGCTACATAAAATTAATCCAACAAGATAAGAAACTGACAGGGGAAACACACCACGGTTCTCTGTGATTATGGCCAGGTTCTAGCTAAAGCTATCAAACAACCAGTGTTGGGGGTAACGAGTTACTGTAATCAGATTACTTTTGTCTGTAACGCGTTACTGTTGATAACTTCAGTAATCACATTATGTTACTAATAACAAAATCATTGCGTTACTTGCATACTGGTTCTTGAACCATCCACATAATGGGAGAAAATAAATCAAACGTCCCTTTTCCTGTGTGTTTGTTTTTCTGACTTCACTTTTGACTTCAGCGCCAGTTCATGAGGACGCAGAAATTGCAGAGCTGCCAAAGAAGTAGTAATACGGTTTGTCTGACAAAAGATTGGAGAAACTCCTGCCCAGGGTGCGAACTACAGGGGAGCCAGGGTGAGTTTAGCACCCCTTAATAAAACATCAGCTCCCCCTAAAAGCATGATTTGTGATATTTTGAGTTGACAGCAAACTTTATTGACAATCTCTGTATTTCTCTATCATCATGGATCATGCGGAGCGTCAGACGTCATCCAGCCAGAGGGAACGATGACCGACCGTCTGCAGCGGGCCGGTCGCTCCTCGATCTCCTGTACGCTCCACCGCCCCTCTGCCTCTACCTCTCCAGTACGGTTTGTGATCGTTCCCTCTGGCTGGATGAATATTAAGCATAACAAATGCACTACTGCAGCTGGGGGGTCTCTGTAGCGCCACGCAACTTTCTAAATTCTTCTTTCTCACGGAGAAAAGAAAGGTCAGGTTGCAAACACAGCCTCAGCCTTTGTCAAGTGTAATAGTAGCAAAATGGTTAGATATGTATGTCCTCATTGTAATAAGGATTTGTGTTGATCAGAGCATATATGAGGTGTAACTATATATTGTTATTGTGCATCACAGGTGATGTTATGCAGTAATCCAATAGTATTTAGAGTCACTAGTTACTTTCAGCAGTGAGTAACTAGTAAAGTAGAGCATTACTTGAAAAACAAACAAAAAAAGCAACTAGTAGTTTGAGTAACTACCCCAACATTGCAAACAACAGCTTAAATTTGCATCGCTAAAGTCCGACTAACTCAATTACCTGTCCAGCAGAAAACAGACAACCTCAGATCCGTTTTGAAAACATCTGTCCCACATCACAGCCTTCCATCTGGGAAAATCCACGCCGATTATGTCCCTGATTTTTTGCCCTCAGCTGTTTGTATCTGTCCCAACTCCTTTGGCTTCATGGTATAAAGATCCACAGGCTGTCGAATCTCGTGCTAAATAACACGTGTTCGTTCATTTGTCCAAATGTCACTTGATGATGACGCGCTCTGTAGTGCTGTTTGTCCGTTGTCGGCTATTGTAGAAACATGACGACAAAATATGGCAATGTCCATAGAAGGGGGTGCCCTCGGTTATGTAGATAAAAATGGCTCATTCTAAGGTAATAAAAACTTAATGGTTCATTATGCAGGGTCTTTACACACCACTGAAAACATACAGGTGCTGTTCATATAATTAGAATATCATCAAAAAGTTGATTTATTTCAGTAATTCCATTCAAAAAGTGAAACTTGGATATTATATTCATTACACACAGACTGATATTTCAAATGTTTATTTCATTTAATTGTGATGATTAAAACTGACAACTAATGAAAATCCCAAATTCAGTATCTCCAAAAATTAGAATATTACTTAAGACCAATACAAAAAAAGGATTTTTAGAAATGTTGGCCAACTGAAAAGTATGAACATGAAAAGTATGAGCACTCAATATTTAGTTGGGGCTCCTTTTGCCTGAATTACTGCAGCAATGTGGCGTAGCATGGAGTCGATCAGTCTGTGGCACTGCTCAGGTGTTATGAGAGCCCAGGTTGGTCTGATAGTGGCCTTCAGCTCTTCTGCATTGTTGGGTCTGGTGTATCGCATCTTCCTCTTCACAATACCCCATAGATTTTCTATAGGGTAAAGGTCAGGCGAGTTTGCTGGCCAATTAAGAACAGGGATACCATGGTCCTTAAACCAGGTACTGGTAGCTTTGGCACTGTGTGCAGGTGCCAAGTCCTGTTGGAAAATGAAATCTGCATCTCCATAAAGTTGGTCAGCAGCAGGAAGCATGAAGTGCTCTAAAACTTCCTGGTAGACGGCTGCGTTGACCTTGGACCTCAGAAAACACAGTGGACCAACACCAGCAGATGGCATGGCACCCCAAACCATCACTGACTGTGGAAACTTTACACTGGACTTCAAGCAACGTGGATTCTGTGCCTCTCCTCTCTTCCTCCAGACTCGTTTTTTAAAAACAAATAAACATGTAATTGCTTGTGTGGTATTAGTATAAGCAGATGGTGTTTGTCTATTGTTGTGACTTCATCACATCACAATTATGGCTATTCATCGCTTGAGCACTGCCGAAGGTGGCCTTGAGCAAGCCCCTGAACCCCTAACTGCTCTAGGTGCCGCACTGAGTGGCAGCCCCCTCACTCTGACATCTCTCCATGTGTTATTGCTATGCCATGGGTCCTGTTTGTGCATGTGTGTATAATAATAACAGAGTGAAAAAACATTGAATTTCCCTTTGCAGGATTAATAAAGTATGTCTTCTTCTTCATCTTCTAAATCCAAAGGGTTCACGTATTTGTTCGTGCGACTGTAAATATAACAGACATAAGGAGACTTTACCTACCTGTTTCATCTGGGTTTAGATGTTTTTTCTTTAGAAACTCCTTGGGGCTCACAGTAAACACTTTGAAACAGTCATCACTGAAGTGTTTCTGGAAACAAAATGTTTTGAATGATTTTAAGACAGGATTGCATTTGTAGACAATCTTTGTGTCTCTTTAAACTCACCTTAACCTGGTTAAGTTTGCTGAATTCTTTTCTCACTTCGTCCTTGGTGTGCATGTTGCTTTTAAATATGAGAGCACGAATACCAGCTGCTGAACTATAAGAAAAGATTTGTAAGTGGCACCTCATCCAATTTTTGCATTTTTTCCCCTCTTATCTTATATACAACATATCTGTTTTAGAAACCTGGAAATGCTAGCTGTAGTAATCTCGCAAGAGAGATGGTTTCATCAATTTCTTTTTCACATATAGCTATTTCATTAGAGTCAGGGCATTTCTATTGTTATGTGCCAGGCAGGTCTTGCGCACTGTTTTTTTTTTTTCCTACTTCATGGAGGATAGCTGCAATGACGGTTAAGTTTACACATTCAAAGATAGATACACAGGAGACTGTGCACCCTATGGACAATATATAAGAGCCAAAAATAAGATGAAGATGTAGATGTTCCTTTCTCTTTAAGGCCCCCCTCTCAAAGCCCACTGTCTTCTGATTGGCCAAGACCTGGAGTATGTTACCAGATACAGACAGACTGAGGCTAGCTGTGCGGAGCAAATGACCATATGGAACACAGGCTCTGTGTAGCTCTGTGTGTTGTCAAACGGAGCCATAAGTAGAAAAAGCTGTTAAAAACAACAAAATCTGAGGTTTTTAAAAAAATACTTTAACCTCATTATTTGAAGCTTTGGCCATGTTTAACATGAACATCCAAAATTGTAATATTGTAGATAAGTCATAAAATACAGAAAAGCATAATAAGCCAGATTATACAGACTGACACACAATCAAATTTCATATGAAGCTGTATACAATATGGATATGCCAAAAATATATTTGGGCTGGCAATCTGTATAAGGCCAACATATGTTGAGGTGCAGTTTGAGTTTCCAATAATTACAACTCTCATTTTCTGTGATGGAATCATTGGAGCACATACTTCTTTGTCCCAAAAATCAGTAATAAGCCAAGCCACCCCCCCGGCCCTGCGGAAGGCGCGCGAGTCGGCCCAGGTGCCCCGCGGTCGTGCCACATAAGGACTCCAAGTTTGGTGTTGAGCCGCCATCCCAAACCTAGGTAAAATGTGGCATGCTTGGAAATCCTATTCATTTCAATGAGATTTTCCACGGCCTTTAAGCTTCGATTATAGCGCCACCTAGAATCCGGATTGAATAAAATTTTTCCAGGTGTGATCAGAGGCCCATGGGGAAGAACTGACCCAAATTTGGTGTGAATCGGACTTGCGGTAATGAAGATATAGTCAAGGGGATTCTTTTTCAATAGCGCCAACTAGGGGCTAACTGTACCAAATTTTGCAGAGCCCCTCAGGGGGGGCATGCTACATAAGGTCATCAAGTTTTGCGTTGAATGGCCTTTCCAAGCCAGAGATATGTTATACTTCATGTTTTCGCAAATATTTGTTAGCTTGTAATTGGGAGATTTTTTGTCGGATCAAAATTCCCTCTACAAAACTTTGTTCGGATTGGTCCAGAGATGGTCCGTGCCAAGTTTCATGTCGATCGGACTTGCGGATTCGGAGGAGTTAATTAAAATAGGTTTTTCAGTTTTTGCGATGTAGCTAAAAAAAGTTGGGGCGATGCCTTGCATTTGCGGGTTCCCAGCCCACTCGGGCTTGGACCCCTAAATATTGATTTAGTTTAATTTATTATGGGTCTTCTGAAAATGTGCTACGGGCTTAATACCAGGTTTATATTAGCTTAATAAAATCTTAATAAGGGCCTGTCTCACCTGCCTGAAGAGATATGGGCAGATGAGAGTGGTGTGTTGTGATTAGAAGATATTTTCATCGAGATCTTGAAGGACAATGAATGATAATCTTCATCCATAAAAAAATTTGGTTTAGTTCCTGAATAAACTGAAACCAGCCACCAGCTCAATGCACCGTTGGCAACTCATGGAGAAAACTGAAGCAGGCTGGCCCAACTTTACACTGAGTGAGCAACTCTGCAGAAGCACAAGTGCAGCGACAGGCTGGTCAAAACTCACCAGGATTCAGGTACGGTAGTCGACATACTTTTCACCTTTGCAAGGCGATACTGGGGGTTTGCCCAGCCAGTTTGCTTGAGTTGTGTATTTGTAATCTTCATTGAAAAAAATTTCAAGGCACAGCCGGGGGGAGGAGAGTGTCCAGTTTAGGGATTGCAGGACATCATTATCTTCAATATTGTTATGATGATGGGGGGTATTGTGGGAGATAAGTTGTCTCAGTTTTGTTTGAGGGGGGGCTACAATGTCAGACCTTGAAAACCCCGGCCCCTGAACTAAAAAAAGCCTTTTGCAGGTACTACCTGTAATTGTGTGTGTGTTTGCTGGTGTTTATTTATGTTGATATCTTGGCTGCCACATGTGTCATGTTGGATATACTCTATCTTAAATCACTTACAGATCATTTAAATCTTCAATAAGATCCGATTTGGTGCAGATAAAGTGAATCCGCTGACACTGGCCACCATTTCCCATGAAGCTACTGGCACTTTCCAGGATCTCCCAGGATTCTCTCTCTGCTGCAGCTCGATTAATTTCAGTCACAATCCACACAGTAGAACAACTCCCAACAATCTAGAGGGGCATAATCTCAAGTTAATTATGATTATGAAATAATAATCAGTGCTTTGTAATAACATAACACAATGTTACAGTTTCTAGTAATACACAATAAACAGCAGTGCGTGCAAAAAAATTACCTCTTTCCACATTTCATCTCTACTCTTGTTACGGTCCCCATTTCCAGGAAGATCCACAAGTGTGACATGCTGGAGAAGATCATTCCCAGGCACCCTGACAGTCACACACTTCACTAGTGGCCAATACCACCTCTTTACTTTATTCCCTTCTCCGTCTTTAGTGTCACTTCTTGTGTATTTGACACATTTTGCAGACAGCTCTTTAGCCTGCAATAAATAAAATTAAAACAATACAAGGGAATTTAATATTTCCATCCATTTATTATCTATAACCGCTTAAACCTTTTGCAGGGTTGCTGACATTTGGTGAGAAGCAGGATGCACCCTGGACGGCGGCAGTTCATCATAGAGAAACAACCAGTCACGCTCACACTCCAGGTAATTTAAGAGTCACCAAATAACCTGCATGTTTATGGACTGTTGGAGGAAGCTGGAGTAGAAAACTAACACAGACACGGGGAGAACAAACAAACTCCAGACAGGCATTCACGCTGCTTTAGAACAGGATAAGATAAAAAAAACGAACAATACAGAAACTATATCAGGGAAAGTAACGTCAAAGGAAAAAAAATAATCGAACTACTGTAATACATAGAAAATAGTAAACCTGAAATGGAGACCATGTTCAATTTTGGACAATAGTAAACAATTAGATTTTAAATTTGGACTTAAACTTGATCAGACTTTGACAGTGCCTTGGATTATGGCTAGTATGTGGCCAAAATGCTGCTCCTTGTGTTTTCTATGAACACCTAGACACTGTCCCAGACCCCAGTCTGTTGACCTGAGTGTTCTTGAAAGCTTATTTGGATAATGCACGGAAAAAAACATAATTAGGTCCTAGCCCTGTAAGTGAATGAAGTATTTTAAAATCAATTATACTAACTGGTAAACCAGTGAAGAGAACAGGTGTAAAGTCTTTACTTTAGTTTTTTATAAAACTCTTGTAGCTGCGATCTGAAAAGGTTTAAGTTGCTTATGTACTGTTTGGGTAGAACTGAAATACTACTTTTGCAATAGCCGAACTTGATTGAAATGCGTGAGTCATAGTATAAAATACTAGATGTGACATTACGTCTTAAATCATGGAATAACCAGCCACCCTCTTACCTGGGTATTGTTTATAATTGCAACTATGGTGGATCGGCTGTGCAGTACCTGATTACTTGGTCCAAAGAGACCAGTGAGGCTGGCATCACCTTCCACACGTTAGTATAGAGTAGATTTTTTTTTATTTTTTTTTTATTTTTTTAACAAATGGGTGGTGCTCACAACAGGATTTTCAAATCCGATTTTAAAAACATGGGAGACAATAGACATAACAGAATTATAATCTTTTTAATATTTTAATCTTAAGAATCCACATTCTTGATGATTCAGTGAAGATGCAGGACCAAACACTTGGCGTTTATACTAAACAATTTCAAAGGCAGACTGACGTCGTCACCTAGTTGTACTTGACTGTGCTATGGTTTGCTCAGAAAAATAAAAAGAGAGAATAGATGAACTGTTGAACTCATAGTGCGAGCAAATACACTACACATGGGTGACACTTCCTGGTCAGCTCGTTTGAACTGGCTGTTGCGGGATTCTGATTGAAGACACCTTAATTTTGAATCATAAATATATTTATAACCCCTTAAAGTAAAGTAATTTAGTTACTGGTAGACAATGTTCTCAGTGATCTTCCTATGAAGGGTAAATTTGATATGGGGTTGTAGTTATTGAGAACAGATCAATCAAGTCCACTCTTTGTTGAAGAAGACTGTTTTCTCTTACTCACCGATTCACATGTCAAAATCTTCCTTTCGGAACGGAGAAATTCTGAAATTTCTCTAAAATATTTATGATCCATGAGTTTTTCAGAGGATTTGTCTTTCCATTCTTCTCCATACAGCGCTGACAGCTTTTCAACTAAGTCACTATAATCATCATCATTTTTTTCCTGATCTGAATTATCCACAAGGAAATTATCCAAGGGCCACAACTCTTCTTTCCACTCCTGCAAAACAAAATAATAATTATGTCTAACTAAGTTTAATTAAATGGCATGTAATCTAACAAGCAAGTGTATTTTTGCAGCTACATCATAACTTTTTAAATAACTTCAAGTAAACATAAACGGCTCATTTTACCTCTTTTGTAATGAACTCAATTTCTGCCTCATACTTTGAGCTCTGCATGTTAGCCTCCACTTTAATCATGACTGTGGTACATGCCCTGACACTTCCAGAGGGCAAGAGATTCTTCTCTCCGATGACTGCGTTTATCAAAGTGCTCTTTCCAGCCCCAGTTTTACCAAAGACACCGACCAGCTCCCTCTGGTCCGTCTCCAAATCTTTGATTTTATCCCTGTTGTAGAAGAATTTAAAGAAGGGTTAACTGATTAATTTAGGAAATATACACTGAACACTGAAAGAATGTGTCAAAATCCATCTACGAACAAACTACCCAAGCATAATTCAAAGTAGCTATAATCAATATTTATATATCAACAATGGATGTAATGAATACTTGCATGTGAAAGGGATCAATTATAGAGATGAAACCACACAGAATCATCATCAGATGCAGTTCACTTCAGCACCACAGAGCTTCATACAGTCTTTCGCATGTTGTTTTGGTTATTCAGCCTGCTAGTTTACTTTTTTGGTTCACTCACTACCAGGGCTTGACATCAACTCTTTTGCTCACCAGCCACTGTGGCTAGTGGTTTTCCAAAGTTATTAGCCACACAGCATTTTCACTAGCCACATTTTTGTTGTTGGGAAATTATATTTTATAGGGTTATGGTTGAATATGGCATGCTAAAATTGCCTTGAACTAGATTTACAACCCTTTTAAATGTAAATGACCACTGTATACACCCAAATCAAGACTACATACAAATGTTAATTTAATGATTAATTTAAAAGATCAAGTCTAAACTGGAATAACCTAGCTTCAAAAACTGAATATTTATCAACAACAGCAGTAAATAGGCTACTGTAACACAGAGTAGAAAAAATATCTGCATTTGAAACAGAGCAAAGGCGAACAGATTATTTTTGTCTAATTAAATTAACCCCCTCATAGTAATGGCTGTTTAATTTGACATTCGCGCAACGCCTGGTTGCCTAGCAATGCCTATTCAGGCCATATCACGAGCTAGAACTATATTCGATAGGTAGATATGGTATCACGAATGGACCAATGAGCAAACACTGCAGATAGTCATCAGGGGAGTTGTAGTGTCGTAGTGTCACATTGCAATGCATTTGTTGAGAAGACTACAATTATTCAACCAAAATAGTAAATAAAAGTGGCTTGTGGGAGTGACTGTGTTACCCGCCATGGCTGAAATCCAACCACATTTGGTGGGTTGGCGGTGGTTAATGTCAAGTTATGCTCACTACTCTCTTCACACAGAAAATTGAGAAGAGTACATTTTTTGGTGTTAGTGAAATTTGAGTAAATGTATGAGTCAATTCTACTTTGATGAAGTCGAATCCATTATATTTGACTCTCCGTTGACTTGATGGTGTCAAAACAGAGTGTAAAAACAAAATGTCACTAAATCAAACCTGTAAGTGAAATTGTATAAATATTAACTCTGAACTTCTTACTCTTATCTCTGATCCTGGATTTACAATTTGAAGTGTTTATGTCACCCCGCCCCCACTATGTAGGTCTACACACACCGGTTGGCTGAAGCCAGGAGAGTCTTCATGACAGCACTCCAATGATGGGAAACTAGGGATTGTGCTTTTGACCTGCATCCAAACTTAAATAAGATAGATAAGTAAATGATGTATCTGTTAATGTTTTATTTAGGGATCCAAGCAGCAAAGCTGCTGGAGCGTGGCCTGTTACAAATGTAAATTTCCAGACTTTTAACATTCCAAACTTCCAAAACTCTAAGAAAATCACCCGTACGTCCTAGGGAGCTGAAGTTTTTTTCAGCACATCCGCTGATATCAGACAAATGTTTGCCTCAAGTCTTGAAGCTAAACCTAAATCGACAGACATTCTCTTGATGGCCGATTTCATGTGTTTCAAATGGTTTTCGGTCAAACGGTGAGTATGCAATGATATTCATTATAAAACGAGTAGCTCAAATCAAGCAATCTGATTGGTTCATAGCAGCGATATAATGAGCATATATAACGTTAATGACATCGAATTCCTTTGCACAGATCCTTATCACACCGCGACAAAGAAGGTTTGAATTATAATCTGAGCTTCGTGGAGGTCTCACGCCCCATTTACACCTGGTGTTAAAATAAGATCTGATACAGAACGCATTTTACCCGACGGAGATAGATAAATAATTAATGAGAGAGAGAAATCATTGCTTTTTACATGATTCAACATTTCCCTCTCTCTCTCACACACACACACACACTCGTCCACTACTTGCCCCAGATGTCTGCGATATTGCAAGAAAGTTTAAGTTTCAATAGCCTGTTCAAAAGACTATTGCTCAAGGAGAGACACAATTCCGCCCTTTATGATGGGTATAATTTTAAAGTGTTATTTTACGCACTGCTTGCCTCCGGCACACAAGAGCAAGCATATTATAAATTACCAAAGTCAATCTACTGACGCTGGACAGTTTTTAGTGGCTGCACAATAAACGGCAACGTGCAAAAATAAATAGTTCTAATAATTCTAGCCTTTGATGTATGTTGCTTAGCAACTGTCATAGCCCACCAGCAGCCTGGTGGAACTACTTTGTTCATAAAGAAATGTCTGTTGATGAAATAAAACAAAGTCAAATTGTAGTGCGTCTGTTAGCCTACTTTCTTTTTGCCACACTTGGGCTGTGTCCGAAATCACCCACTACTCACTATATAGTGGACTATTTAGTGAGCTCGCCATTTTGTAGTGCTGTCCGAATGTATAGTGGGAGTTATTATACCCTATATAGTCAACTCAATGTATCCCAGAATGCATTTTGAAAAGTAGTGTACAACCGAGGGTCACTAACCAAGCTATATATACCGTCATGTATTGCGCTGATAGAATAAAAATGATTGTCCGACGGCAATGACGTAATTAACGGCGATGAAATAACAATCGGAGTACTGTCCGAAAGTGTTTTAATAATGCGAGTGAGCTCACTATATAGTCCTCTACATACAACTCCCTACATAGGGGGTAGGGAGTAGTGAATGAGTGGGGATTTCGGACACAGCCTTGGTAACCGTTTTATAAAAGCAGTAGTTCACTTCAGGCCATGATATACGCTTATTATAGCACAGTTAAGGGGGTTGGCGAACAAGGCCCCTTAACTGTGCTATAATAAGCGTTATACCACGACCTGTCGTGAGCTATTGCTTAAGGATCTTGCTATAACTTGTACAGTATGCACAACATTTCCTTTTTTGCTCAGCGTTGGACCAAACACCACCAATAATTGACAACACACTTAAAACCAGCAAAATGATGTGTGTTTTGTTTTTTTTCCCCCCCAGAAGGTAGGATACAGGTAGAACAGCCTGCGTGGGGTCACTTTAATTTGATGAGACAGAAAATGCACAATAAAACACAAACATTTCCTCAAAGACCATCAGACCTACAACAAATCCAAGACAAACAAACAAATATCCATTATTCACAGATACACAGTGGATATTTTGAGCATGTGTAGTCCAATAGTAAAAATAAAGATCATTCAGAGTTCAAAGAGCAGCTTTTTGCTTCTGTGAGGCGATCTCAAAATGAGAGACTGACTGGACATGCAATAAGCGATGAACTTGTTAAAAACTACTTTTAAGTGGTTCACCTCTAATGATTGTATCTTTGTAATTACAGTGATAAGTGACAGTTCATGATTTTGGTTTGATATTGACAGCTGTTTGGGGACTTATTTTATTACTTTACTGTACTGAATGGCTTAATAGGTAATGTCTACTATATCTACTTCATCACTTATCACTGTAAAGTTTGAACAAATCAAGTGCAAAATATATGTGTATGTGTATATAGGCTACTACATGATAAAAATGTTGTATTATTTGGAAAGACATTTTGTTCCTGAAATCCACCCTGGATCCACCCTTCTGTTGGGATCAGGATAATCCTGATTTTGTGGATCAAAAGGATCCCAATCCTACTAAAAATTTTGAACACAAACTGAAGGTTTGGTCCAGATCAAAACCAGGATTGAATTAGGTGATCTGATCCGATTTCAGAATCCTTTTTTTCTTTTGAACAACCCATTTTCAGAATTTGATCCGATAGCTGAAATCTGATCAGATTACTTTTGGAGGTCTTCAGATCATAGTGAGTGCAAGTTCTCTATTTTATTTTGGATCCCATGACACTTTCTTCTTTCTACTTTTTTTCTCTGCTGAAAATCATTTGTGCAGCTTAAACTTTAAAAGTTAGAAACACAAAATGTTGCAGGTGAGTTGAACATTTCACCCAGTCAGGTACATACTGTATAATGACACTCTCTGATCTAATAGCGATGCTGTGAAAATCAAGTTTGCGTTGCCGCAATTATCTCAAAGTCCAAATTCTTCTAAATTAATCTCTTAAGTCATCTGCAACTGTTCTTCTCCTCTGAAAATAAAAAAAAAATAGGAGATGATTTGCGCAGTGCTGGCCACTGTGTTTAGCACAGAAGTCCAACCACATTAGACCAAAAAGAGTTAAATATACGACCCATAGACACTTTGAAAAGTGTTCAACTCTGACAATGTTAATTTAGGTATGCTAATTTTACTGTGCATCATTTTTGGTTGCAGCAGCAATTTAGCAAAAAGGCTCAGATCACTGCAATACCTACCCAACACAAAATGGCGGACTAAGTTAGCAACTTGCTGGTGAACACGAGGCATTTAGCAGCAAAAGAACCTGATGTTTCCTTCATGAGTTGGTTGAGACACTCAACAGATTAGTTTCTGACGTGATGACAATACACTACCACATCATATAAGCCCCGTCCCCGCAAACGTACAGCACTCTCACATCGATGTCTACGATGGTATATTTTGACACATGGGGGACTTAATCTTACTAAATTCCACAAACTCTGCATTGGTTTCCTGAATGCAGTGACTGACAGCTCTCCAGTTGGACAGTTCCTCTGTTGATATCATTACAGCTTTTCTGCCTTGTGCAGATAATCTAGCAGACGTGATAGCCACGTAGCGTCTTGTGCCAATAATTCTAACAACAACCAAAGGACCATTCAACAAAGAATATGAAAGAATTAAATATGCAAAATGCAGAACTCACCTTAGGAAGGTATTGAACTTTGTGTTGTCATGGTTAGGTATTCTATTATTGACACATCTCATGATGTCTTTCACTTCAGACAGTATGATTTTTTCTGTCAGAGTAAAAATAAAGAACTATTCAGCAGGAAGCATGAACCAGTGTATCCAGTAAACAGCAATGCACAGTGAGGCACTTCCTCTGCCAAGTCAATTTAGGATACCTCAGAGTAAGTCATCAGGCTTATACTATCACCGTTGACCACAAGATAAAAAGGATGTCTGGGTTTAAAAATCACCCAGTCGGTTAAGTTTTTGCCAGACGCTATGTATTGTTGCTCTGGATACCTACAGCTTAATATGCATTAATGGAATATGTTATATTCATGTTTTGCAGAGATTTTACCACCAGGCAACTAATGAGAAAGTATTTTTGTGGCCAAGATAAAGAAACAGACATTTGTGATACAAGGAAAACCGTCATTACATAAAGTTACAACCCTATAGTAGGTGGTAATTATTGTAATATAAATACCTGAGAATGATCCAGTGTCATCTTGTCGTTTTTTCATTGGTGATTGCCATTTGCTGGACTCGCCCTGAAGATCTAACTTTCTCTTACCTTATTGGATTTTGTTTTGAAATAAAGAGAAGCCAAAAGAAATGTTTGTCACAATATTAATTAATGTGTGGTCTCAATGTAGTTTAGTTAATATTCTTCCGAGAACACTCTCTCTTATGTAACACCTCTAACCCCTGACATGCACTTCCTGTGCTCTTCTTCTATCCCCTTACAGTTCTCTTGTATTGTTTGCACTATTTCGTTAACTCTTGCTTCTTTCTCTAGGTATTTACCCCATTTATGCCAAACATGCCATTACATTTACTCATTTGGTAGACGCTTTTATCCAAAGCGACTTACATTTGAGGAACAACATACAAGCATCAACAGAGCATCAACTACAGATCTACAACTGACAATACATTCTAGTAAGAGCTCAAAGTACATATCAAATCAATGGGGTAGATACCTAGGGAAGGAAGTAAGTGCAATCAATACAAGATCATTGTAGGGGATAGAAGAAGAAGAGCACAGGAAGTGCATGTTAGTGCATGTTAGGTTAGGAGTTAGGTGTTATAAGAGGAAGTGTTCTCGGAAGAGATGAGTTTTCAAGAGCTTCTTGAAGTTAGAGAGGGACGCCCCTGCTCTGATGGCGTGTGGTAGCTCGTTCTACCATCATGGTGTCACAGATAAGAATAGCCGGGACTGGGATTGCATTGTGTGAAGGGATGGCAGAGCCAGGCGGCGTTCATTGGAGGAGCGTAGCAGCCGAGAAGGAACGTAAGTTTGTATTATGGAGTTTAGGTAGATGGGTGCAGACCCAGTAGTCACTCTGTATGCAAGCATTAGTGACTTGAACTTGATTCTGGAGGCCACGGGGAGCCAGTGGAGGTCACTGAGTAATGGAGTGACATGAGTCACTGATTTTCCTTATGTTGTATAGAGAAAAGCGGCATGACCGAGAGACAGTAGCAACATAGTCTAAAAAGGACAGCCTGTCATCAATCATGACACCCAAGTTTCTCACCACCTTCGTTGGAGTGATGGTTGCGGAGTCAATTTGTAGTTTGATGTTATGGTGGATAGATTGCTTGGCTGGAATGACCAAGAGTTCAGTCTTAGAGGTTTAGTTGAAGGTGGAAACCCTTCATCCATGCAAATATGTCTGATAGACAGTCCGTGATCCGCGCCGAGACAGTGGGATCGCCTGGTGGGAATGATAGGTAGAGTTTCGTGTCGTCTGCTTAGCAGTGGTAAGAGAAGCCGTGTGAGCGAATGATCGGCCCCAGTGAGGTGGTGTAAATTGAGAAGAGAAGGGGCCCAAGCACTGAACCTTGGGGCACCCCTTTGGAGAGGCAGTGGGAGGAGGATAATTGTCCTTGCCACAAAACATTGTAGGAACGCCCCGAGAGGTAGGATTCGAAACACAGGACTGCTTTACTCGAGATGCCCATTGCTGAGAGAGCGGATAGCAGGATCCTGTGGTTGACTGTGTCAAAGGCAGCTGATGGTCAAGCAGGATAAGAACTGAGGATTGGGCTGCAGCTTTAGCTGACCTTAGGGCTTCTGTTACAGACAGAAGAGCTGTTTCAGTAGAGTGGGCACTCTTAAAACCAGACTGATATGGATCTAGGAGGTCATTCCCTGACAGGAATTCTGAGACCTGTTTGAATACTGCCCGTTCAATAGTTTTGGATAAAAAAGGTAGAAGAGACACTGGTCGATAGTTCTCAACTTGAGTTGGGTCAAGTGAGGGCTTTTTGAGCAAGGGTGTAACCCGAGCCCTTTTGAAAGTGGTCGGGAAGGTTCCTGAAGCCAGAGAAGTATTTATCACATGAGTGATTGTCGGGACCACAGTAGGAGATATGCTTGGAGGAGATTCGTAGGAATCAGGTCCAGTGGGCATGTAGTTGGACGGCTACGGGTCAAGAGTTCTGATACCTCGCTCTCTGTGAGAGGAGTAAACGAGGAGAGTGAACAACCACTGACCTGGAAGGGCAGGGGAAAAGATGTAGTAGGACTGCTACAATGGTTGAGTTTGAGTGTTGAGTTGGCTAGTTATAGCCTCCACTTTGCCTGTGAAGAAGGCAGCAAAAGGTATCAGCAGACAAGTTTGTGGGTGGTGGAGGAGGATTTAGTAGTGCTTTGAAAGTGGAAAATAATTTCCTTGAGTCAGTGGCACTGCTTATTCTGTCATTATAGAACACAGTTTTGGCAGCACTGATGCTTGTTGAGAAGGAGGATATGAGCAATTGGTAGCCCTTAAGGTCGGCGGGGTCTTTGGTTTTTCGCCATTTTCTTTCAGCCGCTCTGAGATCAGTACGGAGCCCACGGATGGTATCAGTTAGCCACGGGTGGGGCTGGTTTGGGCGAGCAGGCTTGGTGGATAGAGGACACAGGCTATCCAGGCACAAGCTTAGTGTAGAGCACAGAGATTGTGTGGCATCATTGACCTCAAGTGAGGAAAATGTGTTGAGGGTGGGTAGAGCGGAAGCTACCACTGAGGCAAAGTGAGCAGGAGAAGTGTGAAACAAATGGTGTTGGAAGAATGGGCTTTTCCTGTAGGCATACCGTGAACTGAATAAAATAGTGGTCAGACAAATGTAGAGGTGTGACTGTTAGGCACTCTGCGGCACAGTTTCGGACAAGAATGAGGTCAAGCACCTTGCCAGCTTTGTGGGTCGGGGGGGCTGAGAACCCGTGTTAGATCAAAGGACTGAATCAGAGACAGGAAGTCTGCTGAGTTTGAATTGTCTAAGTGAATGTTCATGTCACCGAGGACAAGTAGGGGACAGTCATGCTCTGGGATTGAAGACAGCAGTGTGTCTAGCTCCTCCACAAAGCTACCCATTTGTCCTGGTGGACGGTATGACAATCACAGAGACCTTTACCGGAGCGGACACAAAGACAGCATGGTATTCGAAGGAGGCATATTGATTCGGGGGTAGCAGCTGTGTGAATTTCCATTTGTTGGAAATTAAGAACCCAGTCCCACCCCCCCCTCCCAGACGGCTGGGGGGTGTGGGTGAAAGAGTAATTGGTGGACAGCGCAGTGGGGGTCGCAGAGTTTTCTGGTTTGATCCAGGTCTCAGTGAGCGCCAGTAGCCCGAGAGATAATGTGTTAGCATAAGCAGTGATGAAGTCAGCTTTGTTGACTGCCGACTGGCAGTTCCATGACCCAACAGACAAGTAAACAGATGTGGGTGGGGCCCATTTTAAAGGCTTGAGGAGTGCCTGGTTTCTGTGCCTGATGGCATGATTCCTCTTGCTTGGACCGGAGACAATAGGAATAGTGTGGTAGCACATGGCCTGAGTGTTGTTGTAGCTGGCAGCTTTAGGTGAGTAGGTGTGCCTCAGAAAGGGAAAAAGCTTCTCATGTAGGCGGCCTTGCTCAGTGGACTCGCACAGGTAGACTCGCTGGTCTTTACCCAAGTAGGTCTTCACACAAGGAGCCGATACTAACGCTGACGCTTCAGTGTTAGGTTTCACTGAAGTACTGTGAGTCTAATTGCACACAGGTGTTGGGCATTAATAATGATTGCACCCAGCTGAGATCGCCCTCCGGATTAACAAGACAAAAGCTTGGTTTCAGTGGGTGGGACACACCCCCAGTTGTTTGATCTCGCTCAGCCGACCTTCAGGTTCTAGTGGATTGTTCAGTAAAAGTACAAAGAAATAGCACCTCAAGAGTAGCTCTTACTAGCATTTATTGCTGCTCTT